CAATAATTCTCGGCTCTCCCGATTATCACCTTTTGCGAGAATTTCGGCCTCATCGAATTTAAATATGTGGCCGAGTCTCGCCGAATGAGCCGCAACTTGAGAATTGGCACCATTTCGACGCACTGCTACCACGTGTTCAGCAAATCACGTAATGAGAAGTCTGCCAGTTTCTCCGACATAGATGCCTTGTCCGTAACAGCACCAGATCCTGTAGACGACTCCAGATTTTTTTGCCGTGGCAGTGGATTTTTCGTTTTTATTATCTGATGCCTTATGGTTGCCTTCGGCCTGTGTGCGACTCCAACTCCAATTGGTGCGAGAAGGTGATCGACGGCCTCCGAGACATTTTTGAGGTACGGGATCGCTCGCCAAATTTTGGGCTCAGTGCGATTTTGTTGGCCATCTGGTTTGCGCAAGCACCGGTTGACGAAGTTGCGCGGGTAGCCATTTTACTTGAACACTCTTCGACGGTATTGGAGTTCGGCGGCCTTGTCTTCCGATTTGCTGCAGTGAGTCTCAGCATGCCGATACAGTGCACTTCCTCAACTGCGTTTGTGGCTTATTGGATGATTACTGTTGAAATTTAGCACTTGCAGCGTATTTTCCCCTTCCTGACCACTTCGATCTTTAAGTCACCACAATCTTTGCGGCAGAATAGGAAATAAAGGCAGGCAGGTCGGTTGTTTTCTTGCTCCATCGAAAATTGTACGTCCGGAGAGACGCAGTTGAGATGTTCTTGGAACGCGAGCATGTGATTTCGTTCGATGATGACGAAGGTATCCTCCAAGTACCGAGCCCCGAATTTGGGTCTGTGGTGTTGGGAGATCAGAGACCCTAGCCGTTGCAAGACCGCTTTGGGTAAAAGTCCTAACGTCGGTGGAAACTTCACCTGCCCGTAGCTTGTTCCTTCAAACGTGAATTACCTCCTGAAGCAGAGCTTCCGATTCTCCCTTTTCACCGTATGTTCTTTGTTGGAGGACTTTAATGGTCTTGACCGCCAGATCCTGGGAGATAGAAGTGAATAGGAAGGTGAAATCAAAAGATACCATGATCTCATTTAACAGGATGACTTCCTCTTTAAGTTCCTCCAAGATTAGCAGTGAGAAATAAAGCATAGTTTCCGAGTCAGCGGTCAGAAACTTGAGACGCCAAGATAGCCACTTTGCCAGCCCGTACGCTGAAATGTCCCTGAGTGATACGATGGGCTGGAAAAGAGCCCATGCACGTCGGGAAGGTCACATAACTGGACCAGAGGCGTTTTTTGGGTTCTCGTCACACGCCAGTCTGCCGGGGTTACCACATGCAAATTCTTCAGTGCCAAAAGCATAATATTACGTTGAGGTATCAGCATTTTGCAATGACGAGGCCCTCCGGGCCTAAAATATAAAATTTATTTGCTTATTTTTACGGGGTTGGCTTTGCATGAGGCATAAAACTGGTGATCCTCCAGTAAGCTGTTGGCCCTATGGCAGTGGGCTAACAAAGTGGAGAAGACCCTTGCCGCTGCGATCGTCAGGCTGGGTTCCGTAGGGGGCAGAGAAGAAGTGAGACGCCAGATGGGGGGAATAGTATACTCTGTACAGAGGTAGTAGAGACGAGCCAGACGAGTGGGAAAAACTGTTTGTAGGGCCCCTCTAGATATCTATCCCCGCCGTCCAACTGCTTAACGTATTTTGTGGTCAAGCATTTAATTAGTTGCTAGTGAGCATAAAGTAATATGTAATTGTGGCGGGAGTGATCAAAAAATGTTTAATAAAATAGGATTATGTTTGTTTTAATATGCTAAAGTAGAATAAAATTTGATCAACACAAACTTCTCTTGCGCAGGATACGAGTGCTAA